TAACCTACATGTATTGTAAGATATTAAAAATATTTTAAACAATATTAACTTCTCATTTATTCAATAAGAGAAAAAAATTGTTTTCTTATCGGTGACCACGCTCAAAAAGTGTAACTTGATTTAATATCAAAGACTTAACTGCATAAATAAAATAAATAAATAATTGTAATTGCATAAGTTGATAAAAAATGCTATGCAATAACTTTACCGCGGCAGTCACCGAGAGCCACACGTATTTTTTCGTTACGGAATGAATTTCTGAATTCGGTCCTCGCGCTCAAGGCCCGTGATAGAAGCTATGCAATAGCTTAAAAATGAACTATATATTTAGAAACATCTATTTTCAGCAGGATAGGTTATAATTTTCATTATTTATTTCACTAGCTTTCATAGAGGAATGTTAGACGATTTCAATTATCATACTCTAAGTAGTCTTAGATACATCAAATCAGTTTTCATAAAATTGAAAACTCAACATGAACACACTATAATTATTGTTTAATTTGACAAGTGTAACAAATAGGTAATCTGAACGATTTAAAAAGGCTATTGCTTTGTCTTACCTGTCCTATATAATATATTATATATGTTCTTACCCATGCTGGTACGTAATTACAGAGTAGGAACGGAACCTTTTTTAACTTTCTTCTTTTTTGACCGGAAAAGCAGCACTGATGAAAGTAATTGCTGCATATTGTATTTAACATTTAACATTCGCAACCACTTTTCTCTTATCTTTGGATTTATAGGAAAACTGCAAATAATATGTTTTTCAGTTTCAATAAAGGGATAATACATATGTTGTTATAACCATTGAGTGATATGTGTTATGTACTACGTACCAGAAAAACTATTCCAAACAGAAAATGTGCACTACTCTATTTTCGCGCATACACGGGAGACAGTAGAGTTGCGCATGCGCAGTTAATATAAACGGGCATAAAAAACAGCATTGTCGAAAGTAGTTGTTGCATATCATATATTTATGCGGGGTCCAATTTTATCCATTTAACATTCGCCACCACTTTTCTCTTAACTTTGGATTTATAGGAAATCTGCAAATAATATGTTGTTCAGTTTCAATAAAGGGATAATACGTATGTTGTTATAACCATTGAGTGATATGTGTTATGTACTACGTACCAGAAAAACTATTCCAAACATAAAATGTGTACTACTCTATTTTCGCGCATACACGGGACACAGTAGAGTCGCGCATGCGCAGTTAATATAAACGGGCATAAAAAAGCAGCATTGATGAAAGTAATCGTTGCATATCATATATTTATGCGGGGTCCAATTTTATCTATTTAACAATCACCACCACTTTTCTCTTAACTTTGGATTTATAGGAAATCTGCAAATAATATGTTGTTCAGTTTCAATAAAGGGATAATACGTATGTTGTTATAACCATTGAGTGATATGTGTTATGTACTACGTACCAGAAAAACTATTCCAAACAGAAAATGTGCACTACTCTATTTTCGCGCAAACACGAGAGACAGCAGAGTCGCGCATACGCAGTTGATATAAACGCACTTAAAAATTGTCATAATAAATAATTGTTTATTTAGATTGTATTGTTAATCCAGTACATTTTTTTAAATTTCTTTTATTTTGCATATGTGCTAATTTTATATAAATTTATTATTTGCACCGCTCCACACTGCATGAATATCGAAGTCACAAAACACTATTACTCCTAGCGGAGAATCGAAGCCGCAATAACAGGTGTACGGATTTTGCAGTGCTACAGTTCAGTTGAACATAGTGTGTGTTCGGAATGGGAAATCTAGTGCGTAGTACATATATATCGATAACCATCCACGTAACCTTAAGTCAGTGGTCAATGAGGTAGGTGTCCCTGTCATTATTGAATATTGGTTTCTGTGTTAATCTAAGCCGAAGTTTTAGAAACATTTGTAAACACTAATTTTAAATAGATAATCTTATAGAATCAATAGCATTATGAGTTTGTTTATCTCAGGACCTCAGAAACCGAGCGTGAGACAAATTTTATAGGAATTAATAGCTCCATTACGTTTACATTTTATACTATTATTATCAATAAAGTTAACTATTCGCTGTACAAATATAACTTACTAGGTGTCTTTCACCTTGTTTGAATGAAATCGATATCAAAACAAATCGAGTGTATCACTAATAAGTGAGGTTATTAATGCCCTCATATTTCTCTATTTGTTATTTTCCAAATATGACTGATTTTTTTTGTGTTGATTCATCTAAATACAAAATAAAATTAATTTTTTATTAAATTTTCTCCAAAGTCGGTAAATTTGTGAACCACTATTAAAAAAAACCGTTAGATATCAGGTTTTAAGCTTACTGGTGGAATGAGTTATCCTGGGGATTATACTTTTTGGAAGAGTTACATCCTGGTACAGAACAAAAAACTATTGTATTACACATATATAATTAACTAGTTACCGCTTAAGTTCATTTATGAAATTGCTAAAATGTATTCGCGCACAATTTACTTGGCCGTTATGTACCGGTAGCTATGATCTCTGCGACAGCTGTCAGACAGAGAATCCTATAGACTAATGATTAGCGTGGCCTTGAGTGAGAAAGGACGATAACGTAGTTCTAAGTTATACAAAAATCTTTATGACTTTCAAACATATTTAGATAAAATTTATAATTGTCTAATAAATAAACTGAACAAGATTCACCAATCTTAACCTCACAAAACACTTTTTTCTCACTTAAACCAATTTGTAAACTCCTTAGATCGCTACGAACTGTCAACTGTGAAAGTTGTTTAGCAAAATGTAGTTTGCTAAATAAAAAACCGGCACGGAGAAAGGGACAAACAATCACACTACTCTGTCTCATTTCTATACAAGACGTATGCATAAATCTATCTTTTTCGTGTGCGAATGCGAAAGAAGGCGTCAATTTGTCTATAGGTTTCTCTGTCTACGACCGTGTACCTATCTGGCAACGTAGCCTAAAGAAAATTTTGAAAATTTGCCAAAGTAGATTTACTTTTATATTTTACCAATTTAAATGTGGTCACCTGGTGACCCAGCCCAGACTGTCAGTGTTGCCAACTTGACGGGGTTCCTGTTAGATTTGACGGGATAGCGAGGTTGGTAACGGGAAAAAATTGTGTTTAAAGGCTAACGGATTTTTTAACGGGACAACAAAAATTTATGTTCTTTAGATTTGTTTTCGAAACAAAATAATTTGGAAATGGCAAAAATTAAATTATGATTTTATTCATTTTTTACATTAAAAATAATTTCATCATTATGTTTACTTCTATTCATCTGATAAGCTTTGTATCCTTTTTTTTCTAAGGGGACGCAATTAAGATTTTAAAATTAAATACACTTTTTAATATAAAATCAATTAACTGGAGCTTAAAAAAACTCATTTTTGTTTCGTATTTTAGGTAAAATTTCATGTATAATTATAGTAAGCCACACCAACCCGCCATTGCATGTTTGTGTGTCTATCTTTATCTAATCTTATCGACGATATTATTTCGCAACTAGTAAGTAAGTGAGATAGACATATGTTTATTTAAAATTGTTATTAGTTTCAAAGCTACGTCGTCGCGTTTGGATAGTGGTTACACTTTTTTCGACGCGCGGTAATGTGGTTTGCTTCTCTAGTGTCGTATAACTCAATGGATTATAGTCAGGCCTCTATCACTCTTGCTACCTGCATGAAATAATTACCTAAAATCGCGACGCGCCAGGGCGAAATAACGCAACCAGGGCTAGCGCGTTATGGCGATTGAATGTTAAAGTTTGTTAACGCTGTTTACGTAAATAGTTTTATATGAAAACTTGTTGAAATAGTTTTTGTTTAGTGTTAAGTATATTTAATTGTAGGTAAAAATAGTTGTAAAAGCTTTGTAATGTATTTTAAAAATTATTATTTGATAAATTATAATAGCAAAACGTTGTTCCTACTATAACTGTTGCGTGGATGGATACTAAATGAAATGACCAACAAAAGAATTCATCATTCTTTAAGTTACCGAAGAATTTTAGAAGGAAGTTATGAAAGGTGAATTTATTAAATTTTTTGTTGGATATGTACATACAGCAAAAAATAATTAAGTAAAAATTTGGTCTACAGAAGAAATACGTAAGTACTTTATCACAAAAATTAGTTAAAATTTTTTAATATTCGTAACAACTTCACTATCCAAGTATTTACTTACATACCTATACTTGTCTTTTGTAATTAAAATATTTTAAGTTACAATAACACAAAATACTAAAATTAAAACTTTGTATACTAACAAGATTTTTAACTAAGTAGAATAAATCACATTTCTGTTAGGTATTTCAGATTTATTTGTTGTTCACACTATGTACCTATTTCTTCCGATTCAAACGTTGCGATTCCCGACGAATGACCTTGCAATTTGCATGCATTAGGCATCGCAGAACTCACATAGGGGCGAAAGTATGGTCAGTTGATCATAGTCAGAATAGGTACTTCACCTAAGTAACATAATTAACATTTCGCAATGTACTTTTTTACTTTCTATTGACATCCCTTAATAACCACGGAAAGTCCGCCGTGACTTAGGAAGCGGAAAAGATGCAAGTAATATGGACACTAACGCGCAGCGATAAAGTTTTATTTGGCTTGCGTGCGTGATTTATCTGATTAATAATAATTATATAGGCAATTAAACATCGGCAAGCAATCGACATCAAAGAAGTGAAACTTCTGTACGTAGTACTATTATTTAATCTGTGTTAGTGTGTTATAGTGTTCTTTACAACGGGAGCTAGATATGAGCTAGATTTTAATGTTGGCAAGTGGCAACACTGATTGTAGCCCTTTTTGTTACAAATGGTGGCACGTAAAATAGATATGCGCAAGTGAATGTGGATTTACGCATAAAGTATTTAAATATTAAAATTTAAATAACATGGAGATAACACGCACAACCCTTGGTATAGCGGCCGGAATAGCTGGGACACTTTTTTTAGGATATTGTGTATATTTTGATCAACAGAGACGTAAGGACCCCCTCTTCAAAAAAGAAGTTGAGAGAACGTAAGTAAAGGAAACTAATTATTTTGTAACTTTTTTCCAAGCTCATCAGAATATAGTATATTTTCTTAACGTAAAATTTAAAATTAACTCAAATATTAGTTTTTCTAGCATTACAACCTATAAGAATTTTGTTATGTAGCATATTATAACTTTGTTGTTCTAAATTCTAGCAAATTACTAAGCATTTTCTAAATTTACTTATATGTTGGTGAATATTAATTGCAATTTTGCTTTTTATATTGCGCTATTCGTGCGATCTCGCGATGTGTATTTATGAAATACCGATCATATTATGTAAATGTAATGTCGTTGGGTCGTTTCGTACAAAAATTACTATACCAGGTTACTATGTTACTGAGGTTTACGGTTTTAGTTTCAGCAAGAGTGAAAAGACCACTTGCTTGCACGAGAGCAATTAACCGTCTAGTTTCTTAACCTCTTATCTTCAGTTAGAATTGTGGTCAAGCACAGGTTACTAATAAGTATTATGTATAAACGGAAAGATTTTATTTTATCAACCTCATTCTAAGCAATTCATTAAATTTTTTTCTAGGAAAATATAGCTCAGAATGCAGTGATTCAGTCATTTTTTGTCACTAATCTTTGTTTTGTTCATACACAAATCAGTGTTTAATTTATTCAAAAACAGTTTATTTATTATTATAATATAATTCATTTATTATAATACGGTGCTAAGCTTTCCATTGACGTCCGTCGAGTTGGGGGTTGATATTTTTTTTACAGAAAGGTTACATTGATATAAGCACACACGTAAAGTTTCAACATACGGAAAAGCATAGTTTTTGAGAAAAAAATTATTGAAAATCAATTATTTTCGCTTCCTATCTCAGATTATGATATTTTTTTACAGAAAGGTTACACTATTATAAACACACATGCAAAATTTCAACATGCGGAAACGCGTTCTTTTTTGAGAGAAAAAATATTGAAAATCAATTATTTTTATAATATTTACGTCAATCCTTACCACAGATTACATCGAATTCTCGCCATTGAACGTTCGTTTTCCGTACGGTTAAGTTGTCATACGTTCGGTAGCATTTTATCGTACATTTTACATAAATAATTATATTTTGTACTCATTTAAATAGTTTTCATGCATACACATATATTTAACAGTTTATATTTAAATTACAGAATTATTATCATTATGAGCTATTAAAATTAAAATGTGTAGTGTTTACGTTTTTTGCCAGCTTGTGGGACGTAACGTAAAACTGACGATTTCTAAGAATTAATTAAAGCAATATGTGTATAAAATTGTATAAAACGTGTATAAAACAGTACCCACCTATTAGGACAGATAACAAATAAAATAGGTTAGGTTCAACTTATGTCAAGGAACCGAATCAATAGACCCCGACTCCACGTGGTGCGAGTCTGTCCTACCCCTAGAGTGTTTTTATAGAGCCGGAGGCGCGGAGGGAGAGCAGCCTCCGCCTGCTGTAATAAATCGTAGGCATCAAACGAGCCGGAGCGGCTGAGGCTGGTCGCCGAAGGCGACCAACAAGCTGCGAAGCTGCGGAGGCGAGGCTAATTATTTAAAATAGATACAGAAATCCCTCTGAATGAGTCGCTCTATTTATTTTTGGTGGAGGGGGTTCCCCCTTCGTTAGGGGGTATCCCCTTCCCCCCAAGAGGGCCCCATGGTTTTTTACACTTAATATTTATCCATAAAATATAAAATTTCCTCAGAATTAATATTGAAAAAACTCTTCAATATTAATTCTGAGGGGGGGCTCCGCAACTTTTCCTTCTAAGGGGGGAGTAGTACACCTCCCCCCCGCACTCCCCCCACCCCCCTCCCACATCCAATCGACGGACGTCACAATGGAGGCGAAGTCGGGTACCGACTTATGTTCAGCAGTGGACTTGTGAAGGGCTGTAATGATGATGAGATAAAACAGAAAGAGCATTTAATCTTCACATTAATAACAGTCAACTTTTGACTTTAATGTTGTAATTATTGGATATATGAAGAAAAAATAAGAAAATTGAAAATTGTTTTACAGGACGACAGAAGGCTCAACAAAATGCTTCCCGATCTCGCACACTGGGTGGTCCAGTGCCCGATATGAGTGATCATGAAGCCATGCAGAGATTCTTTTTGCAGCAGGTAAGTTGATTTTATTTTTTTCCTTGTCCCACACATTCAAATTATTTGCTTTGTGTTTCTTAATATTTACAGTAAATAATTTGCCAGTATTACAGAGTACTTTCATGGAATTTGGAAGTAAGCTTGTTGAACACACGGTGGCGTTTGAAACCCAACTAACCAGATCTGAAACTGATAATTTGTGTTTGTGCATAAATGTATGAAGTACCATGCCCTCTAAGCCACTTGCTTGTCATGTAGGTTTTTGTTGAGAGAAAATCATTGGATATCTACACAGCTCCAGGGATAACAGAAAGTTAATGCAAGATTTCGATTGGTTTATACCCCATGATCAGTGTATGCTAGGATTCCTGGGATTTCTGTTCAGAATGTCACTGGGTTACTCCAATCACCTTGCTTTACCAGTAACATGTTCCAGGTGCAGTAATTACTGCACTCAGCACCCTTCAGTGCTATTACTCTGTATCGAGACCATTTCTGAGCTACCTTTTTTTTTGGGGTGTAGGATCCCACGCGGAATGCCCGCAATCCCTGAGGCAGCGATACCCTAATGATTAATCAGAGTGTGTTAATGAGCCAAATCTCGATATTTTTTTAATAATATAGTTACTTACTAGCTGTACCCCGCGGTTTCACCCGCGTATATCACGCGTCTCTGCCGCGCGACATGATATGACACCTCGCTCATTTAGTTCAATCATTTTAGCTAAAAAAAATTAGCAAAATTAATGGAGTACTTTTATCTATCGGCATATACACGTTATACAGAAAATTTAAATTTTATCCACTCACACTCCCCCCCCCTATAATTTAGCTTTCTATTGGTAAAAATTGATTAAAATCGGTCGAATAGTTTCGGACTTATTTGGTACAAACAAACTAACAAAAACATCTTTCCTCTTTATAATATTATATATATAAGTATCTAGATAATGATTTTTTTTATTATTTTTACGTATCTTTTTATTTATTTTTTGTTCTTTTTTTAATATTTGATTATTTTATTTTTATTTCTAATATCACACCCCAGTGACACCCGCATCGCATGGTGCTGGCAGTGTACGCGATATAAGGATTTTTCGACGTTACTATTGAATATTTTAACATGGAAAAGTAGTTATTGTGAGATAACTATAATAGTTAGACATATGGTATTGCAGACTTTTATGTAGATATTGATGTCCTCCATAAAACTGTAGCACATCACTTTGCTCTATTGTCAATAGTTTCCGCAGCATACGCGATATAAGGTTTTTTTTTGGTATTTTTTTTTACACCTTGGTACATTAACGAAGTTTTCATACGGATCCCTAAATTTTTTTGAAAACGTTCTATAGCCCATGTTCATCAGGAATAATGTAGGATTCTAATAGTGAAAGAATTTTTCAAATCGGTTCACTAGTTTCAGAGCCTATTCAATTCAAACAAACAAACAAACAAATCTCATTCCTCTTTATAATATTATATTAGTGTAGATTATTATTTTTATTTACAGATTCAGCTTGGTGAAGAGCTCCTTGCTGCTGGCGATTTAGAGGCAGGTGTCGAGCATCTGGGTCAAGCTGTCGCCGTATGTGGACAGACGCAGCAACTTTTGAGTGTGAGTTTTGAATCTATATCACAGTTCTTAGACTAGACCTTAAAGCAGTGTTGAACCTAGGATAATATTCTTGGAGTTAATACCACGTTGGACAGTTTATTTACACTCCTGACATTGTTTATCAATTTAGACTTAGACCAATGGTAGTGGGTTGAGTTGTATGAAGGTACTAATTCCTGAATAAAAATCTGGAATCTAAATCTAAATCTGGAACTTACAGGCCAGTAGAATATATCATAAAGAGCAACGGCTTCGTGGCACAGTTAGCTTTGCATAGTACTTGAACCGTCGGGAGTTAAAAGTTCTACAATATAATATAAGTATGTTTCCAGAAACTTTAACTCTGTCATAACTGGAAATGTAAAACACGAAGCAATAGAATTTCCTAATTCAACATGGAAAAAATTCAAATGTAAAATAATAACTCTGTTTTTCTTTGCATGGTACAGTGCGCTTATGAAAGTGATGATTACTTTCGATTCTATACACGATACTTAACATTGAAATCAATGTTCAGTTAACTAACAAGTAGGGTGTTTATTTTTTTGTTTAAATTTGTCTAAATTATCCATATTCTATGGAGTATTATCTTGATGTTACACGGCCGTTTCCAACTTTGCCTTCGTTAATTTTGAGGCATACACTCATCCTTCTCTATTTATTCCTGGTATCAAATACTTGGGGTAATTACGACATATCGAATCGAAAAACAAGTTTTTACACATGATAATTATGACAAACGACCACACAGTCCAACTGATGGTAAAGTGGATGCTGCGGCCCATAGACGTCTACATTTATCCTCAAATAAGAATCAAAATACAGATGTTTTGTCACCTCTGAGGACTGAGATACAATGCGTCATTTCCAGTGAAGAGGGTCTTCAGTTCTCTACACTCACCATATGAAATACAGCATTAAGCTGCTATTTCATGCTGGTAGTCTGTGAGAATGTGATCCTTTCCTGGTTGAGCTGACCCATTCGTGCTTAAACCATGATACATGATCCCTCACTTCTTTCTAAATTAATTTTCTAAATCACATAGACATTTAATTCTTGCAATTGTCGAGTGACACAATGTCCATTGGCCTTCTTTACTATTAAAGTAATATGAATTCCCCACATGGACTCCGAGACAGAATATGAATCCATAGTTTGTGAGAAATTACAACTTGAAACCATCAGCACCACTTAAATTGTGAATCATAATTTAAAGTATTTATGGCAAACTGTATCGGGAGACGCTGCATCTTCCTGATAACAAGTCAAAATAATTAACTTTAGTTGCCTACCGCCGTGCCAAGCGTGGAAACAGCATATCTCCCACCTATAAGGCAATCTAAATAAATGGCTAGATAAATGAATAAAATTTTGCAGTAAATTAGCCGTGCTACTTCAGTCCATTGACCTGCTACAGCACAAACAAAGCATCCTTGAACACTGCTTTAAAATATAGCTCTGATCGCCATATCTATTTTATATTATCTAAAGTTATATTATTTTCACAATTGTTTCTTCTGCAGCAGCAACAGGGTAGCTAGTATATAATAAAATATTCTTTCATAGGTACTGCAACAAACCATGCCAGCACCAATCTTCCACCTTCTCCTCAAGAAGCTTCCAGAGGTCTCAGAGCGCCTCCATGCTTCAATGAAAGCTAACCGCAACTCCCTGCAGGAAGAGGATGTCGAGTAACTTGATGTGTTGTGTGATGTCTGAAGTTAGGTGAGCAATTCCTGTGAAAAAATTTAGACACTCACATGGCCTATAAATACTTGATGCATTGGAATTATTATATTTTGAAGCAATAATTATGTGTAATGGAAACATTACAAATACCTAATTGAAAAATTAATAGTTTCAGTTCCACTTCATTCTGTTAATATTAGTTAGAGAAGAATAGTGGTTACTATTTTTTATGCAATTCCATTCTTCCAAACGTAATATTCTTTGATCAGATAATTTTATATATGAATAAATACCTACATGCTGCCTTAGTTGTAACTCGTAATGCGGAAATTATGGCATGTTTTCTTTTAAAGCCAAATTGTTTTAAAATATTTTGACTGAATTAAAACAAATTTCATAGGCAAGTAGAAGCAAGTCCATTTTGCACTTCAGCATCATGTAGCAAATTATTATTTGCGCTAGATTAGTAACAAAGTTTTTGGATGTTGGCATATTCGGCTGAAACCAAAAATATTTGTTTTTTATTTTTTGCAAAAACTATGTTTTATTCAATTATTAACCATATTTTATAGCGTCAAGTAAAATATTATTTAATTTGTCAAACATTAAATATTTTCACAGCATCTGTATTGTTTGAGTAATAGAATTAGAGTTGATGATTCCTTGTGTAAATTATTTCATTTTTTTTTAAATAATCTACCCTTGCAATTGCTATATTTTTTACCAAGTACACATTAGCTGTGATAAATACCATAATAAATCGCAGTTGTTTCGAATGCTGGGACAAGAGTTCAATGATAAATTACATAGTTATGTTGTTGGTGTTATTTAGATATTGTGTTCCCAAAGGGCTGAATGATTGTGTTTCGATTAAGATTTTATTGTGAAATAAAAATAATGTACAAGATTTGTCGTTTCATTTATACAACCTAAGGTAAGATAAAACGAAGATTAACTATGCATACAAACTGCCTGCAACAGGAAGCACGGGCAACTAACTTTGTCAATGCTTTTTGTTGCTGCCGTTCCCAAGCCCGGAAAAGAGGAGGGAACGGTTCCGCAGGAGAGAGTGGATGTATCCGGTGGACTAACACACCCACCTGCGCAGTTGAGCGCCGTATGCGGGGATGAAAGTGTCCTGGAGGGTTGAGCCGATCATCACTGGGGTATATAGTGTCGAGAGGCAACACACTCTCTTTGGTCCGGATTTCAATTTCAAGCTAAACGGTGGCCTTATCTGCTAGCCACAGATAAGGAAATGGCCAAGCGTCCCGTCAGAGGGTCGCAGGCGAGGGATGTGTGGGGATGCCTAGTCTCCCTGAAAAGGGCTAGGTGGTGGTAAAGGCCATGCTGACGGGGCAAGTGAAAGTCAACTCGGGCAGTGGGGATGTACCTTTTCAGCCCTATCTGCCAGCTGGATCGAGCTCCCGATGTTGCGCTGTGAGCCAATTCTGCGTCCCTATATTCCCCCGGTAATCCTAACGCCTGAAATTCTTTTAATAAAGTAAGGCGTTCCCAAAGGTGCGGGCTCCATGGAGGGTGGGAAGCCGAGGGGACGAATTATTACACATGTCAAAAACTATGGACAACAGAAGGCCCATTAGTAGAGAGGGAGAAGTGTTAGAGGTGTTTACCTTAGACACTGATAAACCAGAAGGAACCGCCGTTAAACCGGCCGTTCCACTGACTGTACCACCCAGCGTAGGTGGCCCCACCAAGGGGGCAATTTTCGCGCTGGATGTCTCTAAATCCAGTTCTAAATCCACGGAGCTGGATGAGGAAAATGGGCAAGGGGCCGCGAGTAGCAAAACTCCTGCGGAGCCCCAAAGGACCTTTTCTCCGCTTCCTGGCAAGTGGTGAGCCGTTAGGGGAAGCGCAAGGCACCCAAAATGGTTACTTGCCGACCCGACGCACCATCTATCCCAGCAGGCAATAGCGCAACGGTCAAAAAGAAAAATAAGAAGCAGCGAGAAAAAGAGCCGCGCTCGCTGCTTCCAAGAGCAAGACTCAGGGAGCTGGGCAAGCTACTGCTACTGCGGTGCTTGGGGCTGGACCCAGTAGTCGTGCTGAAACTGGGAAGGATGAAAATCCAGCCCGAGCAGTAGGCACGGCCGCCGGAACCAGCTCTAAGAAATTCGCCAGGAACCAGATGGTGGCAGGAAAGTTACAATCAAATCTCGCTCTGGAGCGTTCGAAACCTTAGATAACAGCTGGATTGTCCCGTATTCGCCCATTCTATGTAAAATGTTTAATGCCCACATTAATGTAGAAGCATGTAGCTCTGTCCGCGCAATCAAGTATATCTGTAAGTACATAAATAAAGGAAGCGACCAAGCAATATTTAATCTCAGGAGTAAAGGTGAGGCAAATCCCGTTAATGAAGTACAGACCTTTCAAGCAGGGCGTTATGTCAGCAGTAACGAGGCAGCGTGGCGTCTCCTTGGCTTCCCTTTACACGAAAGGCACCCAACAGTTACTCACCTTGCTGTGCACTTAGAAAATGGAGAGCGTGTATATTTCACCGAAAGAAATTTTCAAGAAAGAATTGCATCACCGCCAAAAACTACACTAACAGCCTTCTTTCAACTTTGTCAAACCGACCCCTTTGCAAAAACGTTGTTATATTCTGAAGTCCCCCGCTATTATACTTGGAACACATCTAGGAAGGAGTGGAAGCGCCGTATTCAAGGCGCGCCTGTTGCAAATTGGCCCGGTGTAAAGTCATCAGATGCCTTTGGTCGTGTGTATACCGTCCATGTAACTAATTTTGAATGTTTCTGTTTACGATTGCTGCTGCACCATGTTCGGGGTCCTACAGAATATAAAGACCTTAAAACTGTCAACGGTCAGGATGTAGAGAGAGTGAAGCTCTGCATCTTGAATTGGGTGGGTGTGAGTGCGGTAGGATTTGAACTTCTTAAGGTGTCAGAGGAACATGACATACAATGACATATAATGAAGCACTTGGAAAAAAAAGATGTACGAACAACCAATAATAAACTAAGTGATGAAATTATACGTGAAACAAACTACGATATACCAGCTTTGCAGCAGCAAGTAGCCGAATTTGTACCCCGCTTGCTTCCCGAACAAAAATGAGTTTTTGACAAAGTATTAGGACAAATTGAATCTAGAAATGGTGCACTTTTCTTTTTAGATGCCCCTGGAGGAATTGGGAAGACATTTTTGTTAAATTTATTATTAGCGCAAGTACGGAAAGATAAAAACATTGCTGTGGCCGTAGCTTCCTCTGGTATAGCCGCCAGGCTGCTAAGCGGGGGCCGCACTGCACATTCTGTTTTAAAACTCCCTCTAAATCTAGCCCAGGAAGAATCGCCGATCTGCAACTTTAGCAAAAATAGTGCACGAGGTATAATGCTACGACAATGCAAACTTTTAGTGTGGGACGAAAGTAAAATGTCGCATAAAAAAGCTGTAGAAGCACTAAATCGAACGCTCCAGGATTTGCGCAGCAATACCGATGTAATGGGAGGAATGGTGGTTTTACTGGCTGGTGACTTTCGCCAAACTTTACCTGTCATTCAAAAGGGGCACACCTGCAGATGAAATTAAAGCATGCCTCAAGTCGTCTATTTTATGGAACAAGGTGACAAAATTCAGTTTAACTACGAATGGAGAGAGAATTTGTATAATGATATCAATGCTGGAAACTATGCTGACACAATATTAAAAATTGGCGATGGGTTGGAAACGGATGCTGAGGGCTGTGTTAAATTGACGAGAGATTTTTGTAATTTAGTACAGAGTCATTCCAAATTAATTGCGAGCGTTTATACAGATTTAACGAACAACATGCATGAAGACTAATGAATATGTGAAAGGGCGATTCTTGCACCAAAAATGAGAGCGTTAACAAAATAAATTCAGATATATTAAGCGAAGTAGCAGGAGAAATAACAGAGTATTTGCCAGTAGACAACGGTTATGTAACGGGACAAGGCTGCGTGTGATACATCTTGGACGGAACATAAATTTTGACAGGCGTAGGAAAAGGTGAAAATGTTATTATACCACGGATCCCTATAATTCCCACAGATCTTCCTTTTCAATTCAAAAGGTTGCAGTTTCCTATTAAGCTCAGTTTTGCAATGACAATTAATAAAGCGCAAGGGCAAACGGTACAGGTAGCGGGGGTCAACTTAGAAAAACCGTGCTTCTCTCATGGTCAGCTGTATGTAGCATGTTCGCGTGTGTCAAATGCCCAGAATCTCCACATTCTTTCCCCGAATGGAAAAACATATAACATTGTGTACAGCAGCGTCTTAAAATAGTGTTCAGTTAGTTTTTTCCAAAATTCCCACAATCAATTAATCAGAATTCCCACAGATCTTCCCTTTCAATTCAAAATTTCTTATTTAGCTCAGTTTCTTTTCAATTTCAAATGGTGCACCTCTGAGGGACCTATGAAGCTCAGTTTCCTTTCAACTCAAAAGGCTGCATCTCTGACGGATCTTTTATTTGGCTCAGTTTCCTTTCAATTCAGAAAACTGCATCTCTGACGAATCAATTTAGCTCAGTTTCTTTTCAAAAGTCTGGCTATTTTCATGCTTTCCTATACGCTGCGTTTCAAAACATTTAAATAGGCTGACGAATTTGACAGACAAGCTAGACAATTTTGCTCAGTTTCCTTTTAATGGCTGCATCTCTGACAAATATATAAAACTCAGTTTTCTTTCAATTCAAAAAGCAATGGATAGTTCATTTCTCAGTGACCATGCGGGCGAAGCCGAGGGTAACAGCTAGTTATTGTATAAGATAACTTAATAAAGCTATGATTCAAGCTGAAAATTATTTTTCTTTTCGCCAAAATAGTAAGTAAGTCTCCCCATGTCCATCGCCGGGGACACTTGACTCATATCTCATTTTTTTATAATAATGCCATAAATTTTTTACCTGAGCGTTATATAAAAATACAATTATGCACAAATATACCTACTATAATAAGGTATCGCAAAAATGTATAATCGATTCTTTAAACTCTATGA